TGCAGACGAACACCACACACATGAGCCACCGATGCAGCACGCTCAGACCACTAGCTGCTCTCTCTGTGTGAGCGCGTCACCTTCTCGGTCCACTGGAACTGCTGATCTTCAGCCACGTAACAGGAGCACTGGCACAGCAGCACCTGCATGCATTCAACACACTCAGACCTGGCTTCACAGACACGGCTTAGACCAGAGATCAATTAAGACATTCAAGTCATTTGCCATCTTGAGACAAAACAGAGGCGCTGATATATTTTAAGATCAGTCAGTGCAAGTTTACTTCAGTTGGAACAGCTCAGACTTACATTTTAGTCTGGGACTAGGCTTTTTGTCTGTGAAACCAGGAGTCAATCTATCAGCTTTTGTGTTTCTTTCTGGAGCTGATCTGAGCTCACACACCTCCGTTTTTGAGCCAATATGTGACCCTGGAGCACAAAACCAGTCATAAGGGTCCATTTTTTGAAATTGAGATTTATACATCATCTGAAAGCTGAATAAGTAATCTTTCCATTGATGTATGGAAAGATTGAAAGATTGAGATGAAAATCTGGAATCTGAGGGTGCAAAAAAATCTAAATATTGAGAAAATCATCTTTAAAGTTTTCAAATGAAGTTCTTAGCAATGCATATTACTAATCAAACATTAAGTTTTGATATATTTACGGTAGGAAATGTACAAAATATCTTCATGGAACATGATCTTTACTTAATATCCTAATGATTTTTGGCATTAAAGAAAAATGTATAATTTTGACCCATACAATGTATTGTTGGCTATTGCTACAAATATACCCCAGCGACTTAACACTGCTTTTGTGCTGCAGGGACACATTTATCCAGAAATAACATTGCAGTAGTCTTAAGCCCTATTCAGACGGGACTAGTTTTCTCAGAGGATCAGTGAGTTTTCAGAAAAACAGTAGGTAATTTGCTCTGGAATTATTACAGAGGTTGTGTGAGAAAAACACAGACGTGGCAGATTAAAATCACAAGTACATCTGTGAAACACAAAACACACTAACGACTCTGTAAACTAGTCCCGCCCGAATAGAGTAGGGCTGTCAAAATCTCTGAAGAGCTACATTCGAAATTTTGTACTTAGATATTATCAATATTCAAATTCTATTCAAATTTAAAAGGCATAAACGAACGCTGTTCCTCACAGACGGGCTGTGTTTCTGCTGGTACAGGACGCAGGACGGCTCTCTGGGGCCCGGGGCCGTGTCCGCTCGTCCCGATCCGGGGCTCTGCTCGTTCCACAGCGAGACCCACGCGACCGCCGTCCATCCGCCGGAGCTCAGCACATGCGCCGAGACGAACCCTGAAACACAGCAGAGCGGAGTCTGCATTAAACTGCTGAGAACGGCACACTACTTCCCTGTTTAATGCTGTGAAGCTGTAAGAAGCGCTATATAGATAACGGGGACTTGACTTGAGTGTGACGGCTCACCGGTGGCATTCGGACCCACAGCGATGATCACATCTGAACACGGCACAGATCCATCTGTCTGCGAGAGCCAATGAACATCAACAGACCTGAGAGAAAACACAGACACTACTAGAACCCTGCTTTATATACACTACATCCAGCTCCTCTATATATATATA